TTAGGGATTTCATGCAACGCGAACAGACTTATTGATAGTCACGAAAATTTGCCCATAGAACCGGTCTTTGATAGTATCTCGTCAGTGCTTTAAAGTATACATGGTTCAGGATAGCGATCATGTAACTTTTTCGCTAGGGCGGAAACGTGAAAAGTGAAAATTTTTATGTATGTGTTCGTACATATACACATGCATACAAAAAATTTTCACGTTTCCGCCCTAGTGAAAAAGTTACATGATCGTTATCCTGAAGACTGAACCATGTATAGCTCTAGAGAAAAAGTTACATGATCGCTACTCAGAGTAGAAATTTGGAGGAAAGTATTAAACCCAAGACACAATGCTAGGGAATAGCGATAGCGATAGGAATAACACGATTTCAATCTATCAGAAATCGGATACACCGGAATACACAGTTTCTGATAGGTTGAAACTATGTTATTCTTATCGCTATCGCTATTCCCTTGCATTGTGTCTTGGGCTTTACGTTCATTGTCCATTTGGTGAAATGTTGTGTGAGTAAACCTGGTCTAGTTCTTGTGAAAAAGTAAAGTGAAAATGAGAACAAAAGTAACAAAATCGAGCAAGAAAGATTTCTTTTTATTTATTGTTTCATAAATTTATTTTTTGGACATATACATATATTATATAAATTTTCTTTTATCTCAACTTTCTCATAACATTTTCATAGCGTATATTTACAATTATATAATATTTCTCTATAAATATAAATATACATATATTTTTAAGATAATATAATATTTTTCCTAATTTTTCTACATTTTTTCTTTATTTTTCAATATAGGTATTTACAATTTATTTTTATTAATTATTTTTATTAATTTTCATAAAGTTTAAATTATTTCATTGCAAAAGTAGGTTTATTCGCGTCGCATGCTCTAAGATGCTCCTACAATAGTTCTTACTCACTCCAATGCGTTCATTGGAATGCGACGCGAATAAATCTAGTGAATTTTGCGAGGAGCTTTGACAGAGCGAAAAATGATGAAAAGAGAAAGAAGTTTAGGTGGTAACGCTAAATAACTTACTTATTTCACGAATACGCATTTTATTTTGACCAACATTAACATCGAAATCAAAGAGAAGAGTATAATACTGTGCGCTATAATACTGTATATACTGTGATTGAATTGTCAATATTTTCATAATCAATTGAATTTTATTGGTTAATGTCTTAAATATTTTAAAATTTATTCTTTATAACTATAACAATTTTTATAGTAGATATATTTTAGAAATCAATGCAAAATGAAAATGAACATGCATGGATGCTGGTGATGTTGATATTTCTTGGAATACAGCTGTAATTTTATATAAGCGTTGCTTCGAATATTAAATGTTTCTAATATATTTTTGTACACATGTGTATTTTATTTATAAAAATAAATGTATAGATTAATGTTCTATGTTAAATTCTACATATAACAATTCGATTCGCATACATGGGTATGTATAGGGTGTTCCGAATTTAAATGTTTAAACTTCGGGAGCGTGTAGAGGATCGATAACTAAGAAAAAAAGTTCTGTAGGGATATGCCCGTTTCTGCTTCGTTTTGGAGAAAATCGCAAAAAAGATAAAACGTAGTTGTTTCGTTCCTGCACTTCCTCTGAAAACTTTTTTTGTTTGTTTACATTTCTGCCTTTCTCCTATAAATTCGTCAGTTACTCGTCAGAAGTTACTGAGTGAATTACTTCTGTCACAATATGCCGCGTACATATTCTAACGTTGAATATGCTGACATGGTTTTCATGTATGGTTTCTGCGACGGTAAAGCCCATGGCACATACAAAAACGTAAGGCCGTAAGATGTAATCAGTAAGCGAATTGGCCAATGACGATAGAGACCGTAAGGCCAGTAGCGAATCCAATGTTACGATTTCCTTACTGCTTACGTCTTACGGCCTTACGTTTTTGTATGTGCCATGGGCTTAATGCTACGGAGGCGGTGCGAGAGTATGTACGCCGATTTCCAAACAGAAGAGTGCCGGATCGCGGCGACTCATTACAATGGCTGCGTTCAGCAGACTCAACAGTTTTGCAACCGTTTTATGATTGTCTGCTGAGATAGGACCATTCTTCTAGATCTAAAAGTATGAT